TGTGTTGGGCTGTTCAGAAAAGAGGAGGTTTCAGTGAGGATTCCAAAATACATTCTGGGAGTTTTTCCAGTGAGAGATAGGGCTGTTGGTAAGATGTGTTGAAGAAGAAGAAGGAGGTTATTTGGGCTGATGGATGGCCCTGGTGGGGTATTTTAATGGTGTTAAAATAGTGATCAGAAACACTTTCCCAAAAGAATGACTCACCCGCCGAAGTTAGGTTGAAATGATCAAGGCATTGAGACAAGGGAACTCCTGGAGTCCCAGATGATGGGCTAGCACTAACAGATTGGGAAGGTCATATTAAAGAGTTTAAGTTGAGTATATAACAATCCCAAAATAGCAGGTTTTGGGAGGGGCCCCTGAGCATTTAGGATTTTTGTGTTATGTTCCATGACCTTTCTTTGGAAGCTTCTTGCACTTACATGGGGCTGCAAGGTCCATGTTGGTGTCCAAAGACAGGTATAGGTGAAACTTGTGGGGCAGTTGTTCGTGGCCCACAATGAAGCAGGTACAGGAGTTAGAGTGGCTAAGTGGGGTCCCACAAATATCTAGCAAGGGGAATTGGTGTTGTTGAGATTGCGTTGAGCAGTGTAAGTGATGGGGCTAAGGGGTTAGAGTTGCATTCTTGTGTGGTCCAGGGCAGTGTGAGGGGGATTATCAGGCAGAAGTGAGTTGTGGTCAAAGAGGTACCCATTGATTTCTTTAAGGGTGTAGTCTTAGAAGTCCCCCTGGAGGAACGTTGACCACACTAAGGTATTGGACATAACAGAATAGAGAATTTTAGGATTTATCTGAGATGGCCCCTTTTTGAAGAGCATACTCAAAGGTATCAGGATTGTTTTCTTCGTTAGAGGTCACAGCAGGCTTGGCTCGGGAGAGATGGATCCAAATGACAATTTCTGGGACCTTAATGACTGTAGGGTAGGGCTGAATAAAAGAACGGTATAGGGTCTCATCCATAAAGGATTTAGTTGGGATCCAGGAGATCCATCTCTCCAGGTTTTAATTAGGACCTCATCTCCTGGTTGGACTGAGGAAGTTGGGTTTGAGTGGTGGGGCTTTGGTAGGATCTGTTTTTCCCGTAGCGCCTCTCAAAGACACTAACTGAATAAGTCCTGTCCCAAGAACAGATGAATTTTAGCCTGGTCAGTAGGGCATTCATTCCCATAACCAGACAGGAGTTGAAGGAAAGCTTACCCGCTAAAGAGGTTAAGACAGAGTAGGTGGCTCCCGTGTCCAAAAGAAAATTCATTGTCCTACTTGCCACGTCAAGGGTCACCCTGGGCCCCATTGCAATGATGGAAACAGTGAGTGGGGGAGCCTATTGGTGCCCTAGGACTCCTCAGACCGTGGTGGTAACAGCTAGAAGGGATTCTGAACCTCTGGTTCTCCGACTAGAGGGGCAGTCTCTCCTCCAATGTCCCATTTGAGGACATTGAGCATGGGTCATATTATGGCCTTAAGGACATTCATCTCTCCAGTGTCCCTCCTTTTTGCAATGGTAGTAGGCTCCTTTTGGTGTCTCCCTTTTGAGGGGGCAACCCTGCGGTGATGACTGGTGTTGCAAGGCCATCAGGAGTTGAGCCTGTTTCTGATCCTTATGTTTTTCCTTTCTCCCTTTTTTTCCCTCCTGGTCCTGGCCATAGAACACCAAATTGACCACCTTAAGGAGTTCAGAGCTTGGGGTGTCTGACCTTAGGGAAACTTTTGGTGTTTCCTCCTAATATCTGGGGTGGTCTGAGTGATGAGTCAGCCATTAAGAACTATAAGATATCTGGGCGCCTGGGTGGCTCAGTTGGTTAAGCGACTGCCTTCGGCTCAGGTCATGATCCTGGAGTCCCCGGATCGAGTCCCGCATCGGGCTCCCTGCTCGGCAGGGAGTCTGCTTCTCCCTCTGACCCTCCTCCCTCTCATGCTCTCTGTCTTTCATTCTCTCTCTCTCAAATAAATAAATAAAATCTTTAAAAAAAAAAACTATAAGATATCTGATCTGGGATCAAGGTTGGTATGTTTAGTTAAAGTCTATTTTGGTCTTTCCATAAAGGCTGCAGGGTTTTCGTCCTTTCCCTGGTTTATGAGAGCCAGCTTGTTATAATTAATTGGCTTTGACTGGCATCTTTTCATTCCATTTGTTAGACAGATTGTGAGATGGTCTTGGGACCATTGTCCTTGTAGAGTCTCATAGTTCCAATGAGGATCTGTGATTGGGATTGCCATGTTATCTCCTGGATACCTCACACTGGAACTATGAAGTTTATCCCCAAATTTATGGTGGGCTCCCCAGTTCCATCTCAGTCTGCCTTGGAGAGAGTCTGATTGAGAATGACCACTGTGTTCTTGAGGACAAATCAAAAGTTAGTGCCGGGGCGCCTGGGTGGCTCAGCTGTTAAGCGTCTGCCTTCGGCTCAGGTCATGATCCCAGGGTCCTGGGATCGAGCCCCGCATCGGGCTCCCTGCTCAGCGGGAAGCCTGCTTCTCCCTCTCCCACTCCCCCTGCTTGTGTTCCCTCTCTCGCTGTGTCTCTCTCTGTCAAATAAATAAATAAAATCTTTAAAAAAAATTTTTAAAAAGTTAGTCCCAAACTAACTGATATGTAAGTGTAAGGGTCCTCAGAAAAATCTCCCAAGTCCTTTTGGACTTGGTGGAGATCACTCATAAAGAATGGAGTTTGGACCCGCATGGTGGTTCCAGTTGGACCATCCATTTCCTAGAGGGGACACAGAATTGGAAGGGGCTTGTTAGGACTTGAGGGTATTGGTGGTCCCAGATATGGGGATACTAGATCATTGTTTTGGACTATGGTAGGGTTTGGTGGGGCAGTGGGGCTTGGGGAAGCCCCTTCTGGTGGTGGGGGAGGGGGCTTAGGGCTTGGATCTGTGAGGAGAGCTAAAGTGGACAGCTCAGTTTTGCAGGTTTTGAAAAGCCTGGGGTTTGTTTGAGGAACATGAGGACTTGGACCTAAGGGATCTGAGACCTCTGTCCCTAGTCTCTACAGAAGAGGTCTAGCTGTAAAATGGTATTATAAAGATTTTTTTTTTTTTAAGAGAGAGAGAGCATGAGCAGGGGAGAGGGACAGAGGGAGATAGAGAAGCAGACTCCCCACTGAGCAGGGAGCCTGATGCAGGGCTCAGTCCCAGGACCCTGGAATCATGACCTGAGCCAAAGGCAGATGCTTACTGACTGAGCCACTCAGGCGCCCCAGTAAGATGGTGTTATAATCCAATGTCCTATTGTGGGGCCCTGTTGCCCCATCTCTTAGTTTATATTGGGGCCATGCTGTATGCAGAAAAGATGAACCATTTCCTCTTTAAAGTTTGGGGGTCAAATAAAATCTTTAAAAAAAAAATAAATAAAGTTTGGGGGTCAAACATTCCAGTTAGCGAGGATGCATCCCGGGGTGCATCTGATAACCAGTTTCCCATCTGTAAGGGGATAGCAAAGAGAAGGAGGAGTAGAAGACACAATATTCCAAGAGTGTCCCCGTTGAAATGTGTATCCAGAAGGAAGATGGCCTTCCTCCCTGCTTTGAAGAACAACCCTGAGGGTGTCCCCCCAGAAGAGGCCCACAGCCTTAATTAATATTACTACAGCCTTTCCTTTCTTTACCTGCCTCCTCGCAATTGAGGTGCCCATGAGGGAGGACATTGGTATATTTTACGGTCCTTAATGAGTCCCCGAGTGCCAAGATGTATGCCCTGGCCCTCGACATCTATATAGTTCCATTTCCGGATTTCGTCCCAGGCCCTCTCAGAAGTATTGAGGAGTTGGAATAGGCACAAAGATTTGCCTTTGCCCAATTGGAAATAAACTCCCACACAATACCATGATTATCATGCACCCACCTTGGATTTAAGTTTCAGGGGCCAATTGAGACCATCTTTCCAGAAAGAGAAGGGGAGGGGGGCACGTAAGGAGGTCTGATAGGAGGCAACAGAAAAAGTAGAACTCCTGGTTAGATGCATCATCCAGGAGGTTGAATGAGTATGAGGATGGTCGGAACCAGCAGATCGGACAGCACGTCCTCGGGTTTTGAGGGGCACACACTTTGTGTGATGGGAGAGAGGTTTAGGAAAGGAAGAAATGCAGACAGTAGTAGCCAAATTGCAAAGGGAGTGAGAGCTGACATCCTTGAAAATAAATCAGACATGGGTCCTCTAGCCCCAGCGGGGTGAGGACCTTGTGCGATCGGATCTTACCTTGTGCGATCGGAGTCACGGCACCAAAAGATGTTACCGGTGGAAGCTTGCGTTGTGTCAATGGAAGTCTCGGTTCTTGGATTCCCCTCAAAAGATTTTGATGAGGATCCGCTCTCGAATAAAGACAGAAGGAATGTACTAAGCACAAAGCATTTTATTAAAGAACAGTACACTGTCAAGATGGAGGGGAGGGGGATTGACGACTACCCCAAGGCTGTAGGGAATTTTTTTTCTATGTAAGTGGGGCCTAGAGCCATGGAGGAGGTGGTCTTTAATGGAGGTTGCATCGCACCGTTTGGAGACTCCTCCTTCCCGTGCGGAGGGAGAACTTTTGCCCCTACAAGGTTCCTACCGGAACTGTCAAGGCCGCCTTCTCCCACCCGGGGCGGGGGGGGGGGGTGGTGAAACCGCAATGCGAATGCATTACAATGACGTTTGCTCTGTACCAGCTACCCTTGGTCCGCTAGCCGGGAAACCACAACGCTTGCTTGTCTTTCTTTTAGACGAAGAGCTCCCAGAGGCAAGCCCTCCATTACCTATCCCTCCCCCTCCCATCCCTTAATGCCTAACACGCTGCCCGCCACGTAGTAGGGGGCTCAATAAAAGCTTGTTGCATGGATCAGCCCAGCTGCGAAGCCCGCCTTAAGTGCAGCCAGAGGACAGACCCTCGCATGGACTGAAATGTACCGAACAGGAAAAACCTGACGCCAGGGGGAGCAAGAACCCGTGCTCTCCAGATCTCGCGGGAGTTGCTCGCGCGCCGGCGCACGCGGCAACGTCACGGGTTTCTGTTTCTGACGGAAGCGCGGGGCGTGAAGAAGGAGCTACCCTAGGGCGCGCGGCCTCGCCCGTGGCGTGGGAGTTGCTTCCGGGTTGCGCGCCCGGAAGCAGGAAGTTGTCGGCTTACCCTCCTCGCCCGGCGGCTGCTGTCCCCGAGGCGGGAGGAGCCCGAGAGGGCGCGGGCCCCGCATGTGAGTGACTGGGGCCCGAGGCCGGGAGGGGGGGAGGCCGCGCTGTGACAGCCTCACCGCCGCGCCCGTCTGTGACATCCTCGCGCAGCACCTTGCCCCTGTGCAAACCCTTTTCCTGAGCCTCAGGTGTTTCGCAGACGGTACCCCCGGCAACTTCCCCCTCCGCGCCCCCGCCAGGATCGACTCCCTTAAGACCTCTTTTCTTTCGTTGGCTCTGTGGGGCCGAGCAAAGCGAGGTTGACCCTGCTTGAACCTGTTTCGCAGGCGTCAGCGGCCGTGTCCAAAACACGATTGGCGCCAGCAAAGTCTAGATTTCACTGCCCTTTTGACGGATTTCTAATTTTTTTGTATATTGGGAGTAGATTTTCAGCTCCCCCCAACATCTTTTTCTAATAATTGTCAAAGAAATTTTTTTTCTTTTAAGTGTGGACTTGGTATATGATAACCGTAGCATCTAGAATTTCAGAAAGTTGTATGACTTGGTTTATTGACCCGATGAACTTGTTTGTAATCACCTTTTAGTGCAAAAATCGCCTGCCCCGTGTTCCATACTGTCTTAAGACCATTAATCCTTCTGTCACACCTTTTCCTGTTTAAGAGCCTGCATAGCCTTGGTATTCGCGAATACATTTAAAATATTTAGTTGTCATTTTATAGTAGAAACTATTCCCAGATACTTATTATTCTGATTTTTTCTGGTTGCCATTGGTTTTCCCATGGTGGAATCCTCTATCGGCATTGCTCCCTTAATAAAAGTGTGTATTTGAGTTTATCACAATTTCTTTTCTAAAGAACAACCCAAATGCAACTTTGCTACATTGAAGGTTTGACAGAAGTTCACATAGTCCAACTTGCATACCAAAGAGTAATCCTGTTTGCCCAGTTAGGCCTTTCTGCTTTGGACCAAAACAACTTTCAAGACCCAGTTTGAATCCTTGTTCCTCTACAGCTGCCCTATAGCACCACAGATTGTCTAAATGGGAGGTTCCTAATCTACTCATCTAAATCCTTCTTAGGTTGATATATTTTTAAGAATAAGAATAAAAGGTAAAATGAATAAAGCGTTAAGTAAATTAGTTTGGGAAAAGAATGATCACCTTAGGTCCTTTCTATAAATTTGCTTAGTAGACATTGATCAGGTTCCATGTTCCTGAGGTGAATTTCCATGCCTGTTTTTAGTTTCTTCTGTTATTTTCTCCACTTATCTTTGGTTTCAAGTGTTAAGTAACAAAAATTTAAATGAGTAAATTTTAAAGATATAATTGGCTTTATTAATCAATTCATTAATTAGGCAGCATCCAGTCTAGCAAGTAGAGGGGAGCTCCTAAGGGCTACAGAAAAGGAAAGGTTTTTAAAGGTAGAGAGAGAGGCGCCTGGGTGGCTTAACCAGTTGTGTCCAACTCTAGATTTTGGCTCAGGTCATGATCTCAGGGTTGTGAGATTGGTCCTTGCGTTGGGTTCTACACTCAGCAGGGAGTCTGCTTGAGATTCTCCTTCTCCCCCTCCCCCCCTTCTCTCCAAAAATAAATAGGGAGCGCCTGGGTGTCTCAGTCAGTTAAGCAGCTGCCTTCCACTCAGGTAATGATCCCAGGATCCTGGGATCAAGCCCTGCATCGGGCTCCATGTTTAGTGGGGAGTCTGCTTCCGCTCCCCCTGCTTGTCCTCTCTCTCTGTCAAATAAATAAACCTAAAAAAAATAACAAATAAATTAAAATAAATAAAGTCTTTAAAAAAAAAGGTAGAGTAGATTAAAGGCTTTTTTTTTTTTGTTTTAATTAGGCAAGGTCACTCTCCTAAGGGGAATGGGATGAGTTCTATCAGTAAATTTTCTAGCGCTGACCAGAAATTCCATGTTGACTGGTTAAAGTTCTAGGGGGTTTGAAACTGTAGTTAGGTTAGGTGTTAAGTCTTGGTTTACTGACTTAACCTAAGGGACACCATTTGGGGCCTGTGATTTTCTTTTTAACACAAGAAACAATTTAGTGTGAGGAGACATGGAAATAGGTATAATACAGAGTGATCGAGTTGTGTTTAAGGTTCAAAGGACAAACATCAAGGCTGGAATAAGGAGTTCACTCATTTGAAAAGCATGGGAGCTAGACTTTGTAGGCAGAGGAAATTATTTGTACAAAAGCAAAAAGATATGAAATGGTATGTCAGTGAAGCATGTGAGGAAGGAATGGGAAATGAGACTGAACAGGTAAGCAGTGACCAGGTCATAAAAGGCCATGCTAAGTAATTTGGACTTCATCTTACAACAATTATTAAGTATTAAATTTGGGTATTGGGACACATGTTTTACATTCATCTTGTAATCCCTGAACAACAGTGTTAGAAAGACACAATTATCCCCATTTTATAAAATAATGAAAACTCTGAGGCTTAGATTAAGTAGTATCTCATGGCTGCATAGTAGATGGAAGATCAAATAATTGTCCAGCTTTTTCCAACTCCATTGCCTTCTTGACCCACTGTCTACATTGTTCCACAGCAGGGCATGGGGATTGAAGGAAGTTGCTTTATTTTATTTATTTGTTTATTTATTTATTTGAGAGGGAGAGAGAAAATCTTAAGCAGGCTCCACACTAGGCCGCAGGTCTTGATCTCACAACCTTGAGGAAATGACCTAAGCCAAAATCAAGAGTCGGACACTTAACCAACTGTGCCACCTGGGAGCCCCTCAAAGAAGTTGCTTTAAATAGATGAGTAACGTGAACCAATTTGTGTTTCAGAAAGATTTGTGGAGAGAGTAGAGGATGGATTGGAGAGGAGAAGGAGGACTGGAAGTATAGAGATTAATTACATCTTTGTGATGGTCCATGGGAGAGATGTTGAGGGCCTTAACTGCCATTATGTAGAGCTAAAGAGGAGATGATGAATGTGGGAACTATACAGGGGGTGGAATTGAGGATTTAGTGATTGGTTCATTGGTGTGTTTGAGGAAGAAGGAAGAGAGGTTTTAAATTTGGAGAACTGGCGTTTCCAGTAATTACAAAGCAGAATATGGTAGGAGAAATGGGTTGCGGGGGGAAAATAGTCAGTTATGGACACATTACATGTAGGGGACAGTAAGAAATTTTGGCCCGGGTGTCTGGTAGATAGATGGATGGGTCTGGAGTTCTGGAAAGTTGTAGACTGGAGAAGAGATTTGGGAATCACTAATAGATGGTGGTTAAAGCCATGGAGGGAATGAGAAGATCAAGGACAAATGTGATGAATACCAACATTCAGGGGTATAGTCTCTGAGAAAAGAGAATTATGCCAAGGTTTGAGAGCACTTGAAGGAGAAAATGGATAGCAACAGCAGCTTTTGCAGAGAGGTCAGGTAAGGTGATAGTTGAGAAAACATCCTTTGGACTTGGCATGTAGAGAGCTATTGGTGGCCTGAGTGAGAGCAATATCGGTGTGAGCGGGGCAGAAATACAATTTCAAGAGGTTAATAAACAAATGGAGACCTGAGAAAAAAGGTGAAGTAATGCCTTTTTTTTTTTTTTAAGGAGCTTGGCTATGAAGGGAGGGAAAACATGAGCACTGGAATTCTAGAGAGGAAGGGTTTGTTGTTGTTTTAATGGTAGAAACTAGAAAAGGTGAGGATAAGACCAGGTAAAAATAAGTTTTAAAATGTGGGGGTTATTGCTTCAAATATGTTCATATCATAAAGGACAAAAAAAAAAAAAAAAAGGCCAGGATCTGTTCTAGATTTAAATAGACCAAAGAGATATGACAGCTAGTTGTGATGTGTGACTATTGATTGGATCCTGCATTTCTAAAAAAACTATAGGGCATTTTTTTTAACAAATTTGACTATAGAGTGGATATTAGGTAATCTTAGTGAGTTATTTTAGTAGGTATGATAATTTTGCTTATGATTAAGTAGAGCAGTGTCCTTATTCTGAGGAGATGCATGCTGAAATATTTAGAAGTGATTTCATAATGTGTCACAACTGATTTTTAAATGGTTCTGGCAAAAGCAGAGAGGAGACAGGTAAAGCAAATTTGGCCAAACGTTAACAGTCAATCTAAGGGAAGGATATACAAGTGTTTATTGTAGTATTTCCGTTTTTCTGGAGGCTTGAAATTTTTCAAAATAAGCGATTGGAAAAAATGGAAGAGGCATATTTTCAGTGAATGAAGAAAGTATCAGACTCACCAAATTTCACTGGACAAAGATGTCCAGAAAGAGGACTTAGTCAAGTGATGCTAAAACTGCAAAAAAGTAGAATTCCTTTAGCTGTAAATTTTAAGCACTTCTACATTTTTAAATTCCTGCTCTTTTAAGTCCTATTGTTTTAATGTTCATCAACTATTTTTCCTTTAAATATGATGTTTATTTTTTCTTAGCAGTTTTTATTACAACCCAAAGGCTGCATTTTTTTCATTTTAGTAGAACATCTTCAGTTAATGGGAATCGCTGGATAAAATAGAATGGAATTTGTTCATAACACTAAGGAATGGATTATCATACTGCATAGCTAGCATAGCACTAAAGAACCTAGTACCAGAAAAAGAAAATTTAATATTACTCGGGATATTGTCCCCACTTTTGAAGATTAGGACATATTTAGATGGGCTTTTGAAACTTTCTTTTTTGAACTATAGCATTTCCCCTTTCATGTTTTAGCTAGATGCATCAGTATGGCATCTCAGAGTTGCCTAACTTGGCATAGTTGTTTAGTTTGGAAAACTGAGAACCTCCAGGGTGATGTCAAATCAGTGTTTAGGACATATTTATAACCATGAAGGAATTCTGTATCAGACAGGGCAAAGCAGAAGTTCACATTCAATGTGACCTCTTAACCTGTTATCTGCTTTAAACATTTTTATTGATAAGTTCTATCAGAGTCATTCTATGAGCTATGCCTCTGTCCTGTTTTTTTCCTAGACTTGAGACCCAGAAGGAATTGTGGAGAACATCTCATCAGAGCTGTCAGTGGCTTCCTTCTATTCCTGAGATGCTCCTTCAGAAGTGAACAGCCTCCTGGGGCTTACCTCCCCCCTCA